GAAGGAAGGAAGGAAGGAAGGAAGGAAGGAAGGAAGGAAGGAAGGAAAGAAGAAAAGAAAGAAGTCATAAACTCAATATTTTCTGATGACTTGAGGGTTTTGTAAGTTTTTTTTTATATTACATAGAAAGTCTATAACTTTATTAACCCAAGAATGAAGGTTCCAGGAAAATAGCTATGTCTCTCTTTAGAAAATCCTTCTTTTCTACAAAAACCAGATTTCTCCTGGTATTTGTCGGCTGAACGGGCCACAAACACACAATTCCCAAACTACAACTCTCATCTCTATATTTCAGAAGTGAACTGAGTTTATGAGCCGTGTTATTGTTTAAATCATATAAATAAAACCTACATTGTTACAGGAAGCCTTTTTCTGTACATGCAGAACAGCCGGGGCTAAATAGATTCTATTAATAATGCAATATTGAGTTTAGTATTGACTTTAAGAAGTATTATCACCTCCTTGACTAACCCTTAGCTGCCAGCAGACGCTGCCTCAGGCCAGTACACACCTAATTGCTCGGTAAAAAGGCCGTTTCCCTACCTCATTGAGCCGCATGATGTGATAAATTTGCTGCAGGTACTCACTGCCACCTGGTTTGTGGCAGAGATCCAGGACCGTCGCATTTGTTTTCTGCTCAGTCAGTACAAGAGCGGCATCTCCTTCTAAGCCTGAGCTCTCCTCCATCGTCATGAATGCACTAAACACAAAGGACAAATATGTATCAGTGATGAGGGACTGTAGAGATGGAAAGAATCAGAGGTTGAGTGTGTAGAGTAAATGCATGTCTTGTACCCATAAAGACTCTTCAAATAGGTATGCCTTCCCAAACCACCACTGCTCCAATACACAGGGCCTGCGAACAAAGCACCTGAGAGCAGGTTTAAATTCGGAATCATTTCTTTTAAAAGAGTTCTTTGTTGAATTGATACTCCTGTCTATAAAACACTTCCCATTACTGCAATTGTTGAAATTGCTATAATCACAGGATGAAAACAAAACATTTCTTTTCAAGAACATGTAAGAAATAATTTGTATTATTGTATGTGAGGACAAAAAAGAATCTCTGATGCCAGAAACAAGTTTAGTATTCTGTCTCTTGTACATTCCTCTTTATGCCTGTGCTAAACATGTTAAAGACTAATTAACATGTTGAAACGGGGAGTCTGTTGTGTTAAATAGAGGCTGGATGCTTCGAGACCCAGGCTTACCACTGAGTATTTTACACTGACCTTTGACACCTGTTGCCTTAAAAAAAAATACATACTCCCTCTCCTACTTACTTTTTATAAGACACTTAGCAAAAATCATTACTCTGTTCTTATTACCACCCAAAGTCTACTCTCATCTTACCTAGAATATAGACACATTTTACAGATATGAAGTATTTCTTTGTTAAGTTTTCTGAGTTTGGGGAGTATTTGCATGCCAGTAAGAGATGACAAAAAGTGAAATACCTCCAGCTACGCCCGTGTAAACATGTGACAGTTATTCCCAGCTGTTCTCCACACCGGCTTTCTCATTGTAACTGCTATTAGTCTGTGCTAGACTTTGCGACCTAAGTATCTTGTAGGCATGTAGGTTTTATACTGTTTTCCAGAATAAATGAAATTTACTGTGGTGTAATCAGCTGAATGCTGCAGTTCATTGCTGAGATTTTGCCATGATTATAAAATTAGTTCTGCTAAGAGTCAGTGCCATTGACCTGAAGACTCCAAATGATCCCCAGCTGCTGGACATTAACATTGATATTGCTTCCACATGAGCTCCAAAACACCCCTCTTTCTTTCACACACACAAAGGAAATTTAAGACTACATAAGTCTTGCTCAAGAAATAGAAAATAAAGTGATTCCTACTGACTTAGAAATGCTCATTAGCAAGAGCAAATTTGTAAAAGACATTGCTACACTGAGAGAAATTTGCACATATCATTTTGAAGATGCAGACATGTTGCAGGCAAAATTTCTTGTCAGGTTTTGCAGAAGATGACATTGAAAAAGTTGAGGCCCCCTGACAAAGGAGTGTCTCAGTGTCAGCCCCTGAACTGTACCCTTCCCTGTCCATCACTGCGCAGGTGAAGCAAATGATTGGATTCAGTCAATGCTATGATTAATGAGTTCCTCTCTGGATTTGGGACTGCCTATCAATCATGTCATTAGGGAGAATGTGCCCTGAAAGAGGCAGACCTTAGCCAAGGAATAACTGCATTAATCTTAATCTGTATATGCAGCCAGCCAGCCAAGTCAGGGTCACCATGATGAAAAACAATAGTCTTCAACTCGACAAATTACTTTGCAAAGGCAGACATTTCTTTACTTTTGTGGCTGTGTGTTCTCCAGAATCTAAGTTGACTGTTTACAGCTTGAGAGTTGCTACAAGTGAAGGTTATTGTAATGAATAGTAACGCTTTCAGGCAGTGGGCAAGACAAGGGACACAGCTGCCTTCCCCCCAACTGCAGCTATTTTCATAAAATCGAAGCTGAATCTGAATGCAAAAGGAAAAAGCATAACTGAATGATATTACATACTTCCAAGATAATCTTTTTGAGTAACTTAACAGAAAATTATTTTAATTGAAATTGCTGCATACATTATTTTTTCTTGTAAAGAAGCCTGTGGTAAAGCCCAGGCAACCTCTGGCTGCCGCAGACACACTGATCTGCAGAGTGTATACGTATTCCTCATGTGGAGACCTAGGGGACGAACTGATGAGGAGATAGGGACACAACACTCACACAGGCACGCATGCACACATCACACACTTGTGTACCCACACGCACTCATACATGCATGCGTGTCCCAGATAATCATTCTAAAATCAGGGTCAAGAAGAGGTCTATCTATACCATACAAGCTCAGTGAACTTGCCGTCTACAGTAACTTAAGTCAATTTTGAGTCTTTTAAAAACATATCTGACTTTAAGTCTGCATTTTTGTATATTAGTATCATTTATGAAACTGAAAAAGGCATGATGTTGTGTTAGTTATCTAACTATTTAGAATCACTGAGAAGTAGAAAACATTTTTAAAAAGAAGCAGATCCTCATTTTTGCTGCATTGTAAGAAAAAGCCAACAGAAAGCCAACTTTTGACCACTAGCTAATCAGCTACATCCTACTGTGATGGCATCCTACTCTAGCGGATACTAAATGCGTTGGTGTTCCTTTAAGAACTGCCTTCTGAAAAAAAAATAATCTAGGAATGCCTGAAAGTATCACTTTATAAATAGATGATATTCATAGGAGTTCTAAACCAGCAATATCATACATTTTACTTTGTAAGTATAATCAGGTCTGCTGGGTTTGGCCTTCCTTCTCCTCTCTTTTTTTTTTTTTTTTTTAAATATATCCACTACCATGAATAATGACATTTGACCTTAATCTTTTAGTCACTGCCTTCAACCCTGTAATTCGGTATTGGATGCAAATATAAAGATTAAGAAGGTCACTCACTGTCAATGTTACTAAGGACTTTCCTTCTATTGTTATTCTTTCCCATTCACACACCAAAAATAACTGCCTAGTCTTCTGTGTGAGTAGATGAGAGAAACCAGGGCTACTTAACATTCGGAGTATTGATTAGAATGAATTATTACAGATTAACATGGACGAGCAGAATGTTCTGGTTACTGTTCTGCTAAGGAGAAAATGCAATATGTTTTTGTCTTTGGTTGTTTGTGTTCTGAGAAAGGGTCTCACCATGTAGAGCAAGCGTCTGTCTCCTGAGTGTCCACTGCCACATCTGGCAACACACAATGTATTTTAACAGAGTTTATAAGTGAGAGATGCTTACTAGTTCTCAATTTGATGCTGAAAATTTTGCTACTTCATTTTCAAAACAGTTCTGCCAGCTTGGTATCATCCTTGAAACTGAAACTTTGAGAGGGGCACAAAATGACCCCTTTACAAGGAATGCATATTTGCTCATCTGATTCTCAAGCCTGACCTCCTTCCTCATCACTGCCATTTATGAGTAACAGCCATCCTATTCCAGGTGACTTTCAGTCATCTCAGGCAGAAAGTTATCCAAGGGTCTGTTAGCCACTTGAATATCCCTTCAGTAACTAGGGGGGGACAGTGTGTGGGGGTGTCCAAACAATGGGCTGGCTTGGTCATGTGTAGACCACCTGAACTGCAATCCTTGTATCAATATCAAGCACTTTTATACCTACAGACTAACCTCAACACAGGAGAACTCTACATACATATTTGAATTCACCAGGGACCCTTAAAAATCTTTGCAGTGGCACAAATCACTTAGCTGTTGGTGACAAACCTATGAGAAAGCTGACATTTCCATTCTGAAACAGCTGGGTGTGTTTATAGCTTGTGAGTGATATGCCCCAGTTGCCCTCTGGGATTCTTACATTACCAGATGAAAAATGTGTACCTTTTTGACAATCAGGTACACAGAAAGCAATAAAAAGCCTTTTATATCCATTAATTCTCTTTTAATTCAATCTGTGCCCACTCCATTTACAAAATGCCTCGGGCTATGCACTAGATACCCCAGTTGCACACTGAAAACAAGTGAAACTAAATTCCCCTGGGTTGAGCAACACCCTTTTAATCAGAAACCTTAAGATGGAACCTAAGCCAGGATAGTGTTCCCGAATATCAATGGGGTTCAGATTTTACCAGGAACATCTAAGAGCCCCGCCTTTAGGGCAGAACTTATCTTTTTCTGTGTTCCTCAAAGGTCCTGTGATTTTTTTTTCCAAATAACCGTTGCTGCCCATCTGACAAAATTTTGTTGCTGTTGTGTATTGTGACTTTGGTACTGAGAAATTATTTGATGAAGCTGTGTAAGAAACAAGCACACTTTACCATTTGATGCTCAGTGTCCTTGCTTTCAGAAGCTGGCGCTCCATCCAGTTGGGTTTCTGCTGCTCAATGCGCAGTATGACCTTTTGGGTCAGTTGACTCGCACTGTTTCGCTCTCCAAGGATACTTTCCAAACACACACAAATTAAACCCAGTTTCTCCTTACTCCATCTGTCAAGGGAGGCACCTGTTAAACGTTCCACTGTGTTCCCATCCTCAAATATCCGACATATAATTACAATCAAGTTCCAGACAAGCAGGCCAGCTTTCTTCAATTCAGGCAAGTTTTTTGACATTTTTCTCTCAGACAGAAAAAAGAAGTATTTAATTGAGGGAGGCAAGCATGCAATCACTGTAGGTAACTTGCTGATTACAATAGATACTGCCTGAGCAGCAAGCCTCGTGAAGCCTGGGAAGAAAAAGTGGGAAAGGTATGATTACTGTTAGCATTCTCATGCCATCACATCATAGATTTTTTTTTGTCTCACTTTTGTGGAGAAAATTATTAAGATGAACAGGTTCTTAATGCTTTCCAAGAGAACCCCACCAGAAACTCCTAAGGTATACCTGAAATTTTCCAAATTTCAAGCATGATTTTATTCCTTCTATAAATAAAAATGAGAAAATTTAGAATTATAATTTATATGTTTATTTTTTAAGATTTAAGTTTTGAAGTATGGAATACTGCTAACAAATTAAGCAAAGGTCCACATGACCTTTGATACCACTGAGTCCCTTGCTACTGTGACAGTCAAAAGTATCTCTATCCTCTGGGAGCATATTTGTCCCTAGCTAAAAACTACTCTTTATGTGATTTTATGCTATCCGTTTTATTTTATTGCATTTATTTGATCTTGAGATACAGCCTCTTGTATGAAAGTACGGATGTAAACTCTTCCTATTGCCAAGGATGGCATCAGACTTTGGATCCTTCCGCCTCCACTCCTCAGTGCAGGGAAGGCTAGCATTCTCCACTAGACCCGAGGCCTGAGTGCCGGGGATCAAGCCCAGGGCTTCGTGTATGCTAAGCAAGCCTCTTGAACCCCAAGCATAAATCTGACTCCGCTAGATGAAGTCAGTTTTCAGGACTGGCCTTGCTCCGGGCTTGCAAGGCTGGAAGTAGGCTGGTCACCGTTCACGCATCCCACTTCTGCTCTCCTCACCTAACTCAAAACAACCAATCGGAATCCATCCTCCCAAGCCAGCACGGCTCTCCAGCTTCCCTTTCTCTTTCCCCCCTTTCCTTTTAGATGTCTTCTCCGTCCTTCATACCCAAGCAAGGATCGTTACCTCTGTCATTCTGTTTCTTGATGAGACCAAGCTAAAGTGCTAACCCAGTCCAAGCCGTTCTTATAAATTGTACTCCAACAATGGCAACATAACACCCTTCTGACATGCCGTTTTGTATTTTTAAATGCTTTATTCTTTATGTGTTTGTGTGCTTCTCTTCTAGTCTCACATAGTATACCTAAAAGATTTTATTACATGGGGCTGGAGAGCTGGCTCAGTGTTACAGAGTGCTTGTTGCTCTGGCAGAGGACCCAGGTTCAGTTCCCAGCACCCACAGTGAGGCTCACAATCCCAGTTCCAGGGGATCTAATGCCATCTTCTGTCCCCATGGACACCATCATGCAGATGGGGCATGTTAATATATGCATGAAAACACTCATATACATAAAACATTTATTTTATATCCCCTCATCCTAAACACAGACCCCAGACAAACAATTCCAACTCTATAACAAGTAGAAATGGCTAGTTCTCTTTGCACCTGAACTTCTACTGAAATTTCTCACTGTAAAGACTCCAGGAACTCAAATCCATAACTACTTAGTTAATGCTTAAGGCAAATTCCAATCAGGAGATTCAAATTGTTGCCAAATAAATCCATTCTAAACATGAAGGCAATGAGTCAATGAGGAGGTTAATAGCACACTTGTTGGTCTGTCTTTAAGTAAGTAGCCATCTAGTCTAATATTTAACATATTACAAAAAAAATCCCAATTTCAGAACTGAAAGAGTGTGAATTAACTACAGAGTGGTTGCTGGATTTAGGTTTATCGTAACTTTCTACATGGCTGGTACTATCATGGGAAAAAATGTCAAAGTGCTATTTAAGAATAAATGAAGGAAAGACAAGCAATGTTTTTAAATGAATTTTTATCACCATAAAATATGAATAACTCATCAATGCTAATGTCTGACTTACTATGTTTTATTGTGTTTAAAATGTCAACTTAATACTGCATGGTACAAACATCCAGTTCTAAGTTCATTTAGTTTCGTTGGCCCTTACAGGTATTTTTTTTTTAGGCATTATAAGAATGTAGTTAAGACCCATGCAGTATGCAGCATAACTGTAGAATGATTGTGCTCTCAAAATTAAGGCTTTTGCTTTTTAGTCTTAGTCATAGAACAGTCAAAGCTGTTGTTGCAACTTGCCCATAAATACCCAACAATGAACTCAATTCATTGTCCTTGCAAACTAACAAGGAAAACACTGTATTTTCATACATGTAAGATAAAGTCCAATGATCAAAAAGACAGTATTTGATATACTTTTAAGTAGATTAGAAAACCTGTATCTCACTCAGGATGATCTTTTCTAGATGCCACCATTTGCCTGCAAATTTCATAATTTCCTTGTGTTTAATTTCTGAGTAGTATTCCATGTGTGAATGTACCACAATTTCTGTATCCATTCCTCTGTTGATGGACATCTGGGTTGTTTCCAGGTTCTGGCTATTACAAATAAAGCTGCTATGAACATGACTGAACAGATGTCCTTGTTGTGTACTTGAGCATGTTTTGGATATATGCCTAGGAGTGGTATAGCTGGATCTTGAGGAAGTACTATTCCTAATTGTCTGAGAAAGCGCCAGAGTGAGGTATTCCAGAAGCAGAAAGACCCACATGGTATATGCTCACTTATAAGTGGATACGAAACCTATAAGATAGGATAAACATACTAAAATCTGGACAGCTAAAGAAGCTAAACAAGAAGGAGGACCCTGGGTAAGATGATCAATCCTCACTTAGAAAGACAAATGGGATAGACATTTGAAGAAGGAGAAAACAAGAAATAGGACAGGAGGCTACCATAGAGGGCCTCTGAAAGACTCTACCTAGCAGTGTATCAAAGCAGATGCTAAGACTCATAACCAAACCTTGAGTAGAGTGCCGGGAATCACATGAAAGAAGAGGGAGATAGAAAGACCTGGAGGGGACAGGAGCTCCACAAGGACCAAATATATCTGGGCATAGGGGTCTTTTCTGAGACTGATTTTCCAACCAAGGACCATGCATAGATATAACATAGAACCCCTGCTCAGATGTGGCCCATGGCAGTTTAGTATCCAAGTGGGTTTCCCTAGTAAGGGGAACAGAGACTGTCTCTGACATGAACTCAGTGGATGGCTCTTTAACCCCCCCCCCCCCCAGGGAGAAGCGGCCTTGCCAGGCCACAGAGGAAGACAATGCAGCCAGTCCTGATGAGACCTGGTAAACTAAGGTCAGACAGAAGGGGAGAAGGACCTCCCCTATAAGTGGACTTAGGGGCAGGGAGGAGATGACAGAGAGAGGGTATGATTGGGAGGGAATGTGGGAGGGGTTACAACTGGGATACAAAGTGAATAAACTGTAATTAATATAAAAAATAAAAATTTGCATGGAATCTTATGTAAGAAGTGGGAAATAGTAAGATCTGGAAAGGACAGGAACCCCACAAGGAGAGCAACAGAAGCAGAAAATTTGAACATAGGGGTCTTCCCTGAGACTCATACTACAACCAAGTACCAGGCATGGAGATAACCTAGCACCCCTGCACAGATGTAGCCCATGGTAGTTCAGTGTCCAAGTGGGTTACCTAGTAATGGGAAGAGGGACTGCCTCTGACATAAACTGGTTGGCCTGCTCTTTGATCACCTCCCCCTGAGGGGGGAGCAGCCTTACCATGACACAGAAGATGACAATGCAGCCACTCCTGATGTGATCTGATAGACTAAGATCAGAAGGAAGGGGAGGAGGACCTCCACTATCAGTGTATTTGGGGAGGGGTATGCGTGAAGAAGGGGGAGGGAGGGTGGGACCCGGAAGGGAGGAGGGAGGGGTTTATGGGGGGGGGGATACAAAGTGAATAAAGTGTAATTAATAAAATAAAATTTCAAAAATTTTAATTGAAAAATTTAAAAAGTTACATAAAAAAATAAAACCTATATCTTAAGTTTGTAAGTGAACAAATATGTTTTATTGGTGATAATTGTGTTTTTTGTTTTGTTTTTTGTAAAACTAGTATTTCCACATTGTTTAGAATAAATTGCAACAATAGTTTCTTGTTACACTTCCTGTATTTCTGCCCCCAGGATCCTTTTAAGGATCTCCCTGTGAACAGTAGTCTGAATGCACTTTTCCTTGTGGTAGTATTGGCTCATTTCCGACATTCATTGTTCCAACCAAAAATTTTCTATAAAGCATTCTTTTGATTAAAAGTTGTAGTTTGCCATTGAAGAAAGAACATCTCAAGTATGTTATTATTATTATTATTATTATTTTACTTAACTGCTGTCAAAAAACAACACAAAGTAGTTCTTTGTGCCTTTGCTCTCTGAAACACAAGGAAACAATTCCAAAAAGCTGAGCTATGTGTGAGAACATCTGTGCTTTTTATCTCCTGCCTCGTGCAACACTGTGTGGCGTTCACTCCTCTCGAGCGTGTAGTTTTCTCTATATAAGAGTATTTGCTGATGACGAAGAAGAAGAGGAAGCAGGAAATGCGCCTTAGTTTGTCTCTGTAATGCTCTGTGTGCTGCCTCCACGTGCTGATAGATGCTCTCATAGCTTCTGCCTACTCCTCTTTAGTAAGTCAGAATTCTGTGTTATAAATGGCACCTTCAAGCATTTGTCTTGTTTAGACCAAGTTATAAGGAACAAAATCACAGGTCACTCAACTTGAGCCCGGGGGGGGGGGGGGCTACAGAGTTTGTCTTCATCTTTTACACGCTTACTTTTGAAATCTTTTTCTAATCAAGACAGCTTGAGACTGCGAGTTCAATACAGCACTGCACAAAGCTCAGAAGGAGCTCACATTCAACGAAAACACACTGGCAGTCACATTTCAGATGACTTCCCTACACTCGCGCCTTCCCAACCTGATCACATTATTGTTTTACTTTACGATGCGGCCGAGAAAGCACTCCCGTTTTCAGTGAGAATGCTGTGCTGTGTCCCCAGTATTAAAGCAACAGGAACATGTTAGGGTCACATGTATCTTTTGAGGAAATCAATTTTGTTAAGAGCAGACTTGACAGCATGGCATTGATCTATTCCGGAAGCTATAGAAGGAATCATGGCTCCATGCCCATCCCCCACCCCACCCCACCCTGCACACCTGCCTTTACAGTTCCTCCCACACTGTCTCCAACACAGAACTCTCTCTCACTCACAGACTGAGAAAGTGTTCTTATAACAATCTTCAGAGAGAATTTTATCAAATTTTAATTTCTCTTTCTTTGCAGAATTGTGTATGTTCCACGTGTCTATACTCATTTACTTACACTAGCCTAGTGACAGGAGGACAGAGAACATGTATAGTGTATCCGTGATCATGAACACGTTTGTACATTCAGCAAACAGCCACTGAGTCGATAGATGACTGAATGCTGACACACAAATACCGTCTGTCTCTAGCAGTATCCTTATCTAAGGAGGATGGAAACCAAGGCCTCCAAGAGAACATGCAAAAATGGAGAGGGCCAAACCCTCATATCCAGTTTTTCTCTTATACATACCTATAAAATTTTAATGTATAAATTAAGAACAATAATAGATTACTAACAAATTGTAATGTAGACCACTTTAAATAAGGTATTGTAATAAAACTATGCGGATGTAGACTCTCTCTTGAAAGGAGTGACACAAACACAAATATTTGTGAACTGAAGTTGACTAAGGTCAAAGAAAACCACAGAGGGCAAAATCACAATAAAGACTGAAAAGGAGAGAGAAGGAGGGCCAGGAAGCGCGACAACCCCCTGAAGCATTTCAGAACACAAACAACAGTCTTCTGCATTGTCATGCACACTTAGAATGCACACTGGCCAGTAGTTCACAGCAGGTGGACAGAGGTCGTGCTTCCTAGACCACTAAGAGTGAGCGACACATCCCAAACCTGGAAGGAGACCTAAACTAATGGGAACCACTCTGACATGCGGGAGAACTCACCAGGGAAACGGTGACATTTTCTAATTTCAATAAATACCTTTACTATCCAAAGGATTTTTGATAGGCCTTGAACAAAATTAAGAAACTATAAGATAAATTACTCATAGATAATTGATTTGAGTTAGTAATAGAAGGCAGTGATAAGAGCTACACTGTTTAGGATCTCCATGGGGAAGAATTAAATAAATAAATAAATAAATAAATAAATAAATAAATAAATAAATAGATAGATAGATAAATAAATAAATAAGCAAATAAAGAAATAAATAGAAAAAGAAAGAAAAGGTTAGACCCTTCAACTCAGTTTTGTGGGTTCTAGTTGGAATGTTATATTATGGAAAGTTTTCCTTAAAGTTAAAAAAATATTCTTTAAAAATGAATACAAAAGATGTTTCAAATTAGAAAAGGGAAGATTCACACAGATAATATATGTTTAAAGGAATTTTGTTAAAATTCAATGGCAATAAAACTATCTCAGCAAAACAGAGGGCTTTAATGAAATAAATGAGAATGTAGAGATAAATGATGGCTCTTAAGTGCACCTGGCAGAAGGATTACTCTGACCAGGGCCAATAAATTCAGTACAGAACAACAAGTATGGGGAACAGTTATCCTATCAGAAATTATATGCAACTACCCAACTAGTGCCATTGGGACCGGAAAACTACATCTCAAGGTATACAAAGGGAAAGAATGGGAAAGGTAGGTGGTAGTTGCAGAGAAAAGTAAACAAAAATCAATCAATCAATCAAACAAACAACAACAACAAAACAGTTAAACTGAATGAGTAGCCATGAGGGCACATAGATTATCATCTAGATTTAATGTAAAACAGGTCATGTGACTTTTGTGAATACTAACACAGAAACAAAAGATTAAAAACTCTGAATTACTTCTAGGCGACTCAAGAACGGTGGAAGACGCGCCCTTCCCAGGAGGCACGCGCCAAGCATGCCGGGCCTAGGGCTCAGGCTTGAAAACATATACAAAGGTAGCATACTCCAGGTGACACATGGAATATTGAGGAGCGTGTTTGTATGAGCTTATATTTATGCATGCAATAACAATTAGTAAAGGAAGAAGAAAAAGGCCACAAGTCTGAAGGAGAGTGGAGAAGGATAAGGATTTGGAAAAAGAACAGAGAAAGAAGAGATGTGTCAATCAAACTATAATCTCAAAACTAAAAATAAAGAAATAAGGCAAATTTCCAAAAATCATGAAGTACTAATTTAAAAAAAAAAAAAGATGAGTACTTGAGTCATTTTCATTCCTACTTATATTATCTGTGTGGCTCATAGCAAAAGAGAGTAAGTGCCTCCATATACATGCTAAAATGAAAATTAATACCATTCACCAGTCTTAGGATGTTTAACTGAAGGCCTAAAAGAGTGCTTCTACTGAGGACACTTTCTTAAGGAGCAAATGCGGCTACCTTTATTGGACCCTTTCCCTTTGGAGTCTCTTGGAGTGTAATTCCATTCTGGTGGGATGCTCTGAAGCAGCTGATCGGGAACATGGGGTTTGCTTAGGTTTGTCTCATTGTTTCTCCGACATCTCATCATGGACATTATCTGTTGCACAGTGTCCCTGACAGCGTCCATCAGGGCCAGTCTCAGGCAGCGGATGACTTCTGGCTGGTACTCCGCACACACTGAAACTTTAAAAGCAAGGAGCGTATTATGGTTAGCAGACACTGGTCACCAGCTGTGTCTTGTTCATCTGGGAAGACTCTCTCACAGTTATCTAGTTTAAAGCTAGAGAGAATGAGAACTTAATTTAAACAGTACACCATTTAATTGCGAACGAGCTCATAAACCATATGAAATAGAAGTTTCCCTTACCTAGAAATGAAAGAACATGAAGTAAGTGCATGGAAAGCAGCAGACTGACCTCGAGCTTTGAACTCTGGAGGGGCAGTAGGAACTGTATGACCTTCACAGAGAGCACATGTCAATAACCTTAAAGTCTCTAAGCAGCCGACAGAGCATCAGCGGTAGGGTGCTTTTACCTGCAAGACCCTGGGCTTCAACTTCAACACTCTTGGGCTGCACATATGTGCTGGGGAAAATCACCATGACCAACATCAACAAGGTTGTAACGTTTTACATAACTACTGACTCACTTTCTCTTTTCCATGAAACTGAATCCTAAGACACTGAAAAGGATCTAGAGAAATATGAGAAACCATCTAAATGTCCAATTAGGTCTCATAAATTCATCATCACAAAACACCCTAATACTTCACAGATAAAAAAAATAACATTGCATTAGAAAAGAGCAAGGTACACACACACTCAAATAAAATTTTATGAAAAGATGTTAAAGTAGGGACTTAACCTTCTAGAAGACATAGTGTAGAAAGGCTACATAATAGTCCCAACCGCAGTTGCTCTAGGCCTGTATAGTAACTCTATGTAATCAACATAAAAGAGATAGGCAAAAGTATCACTCAGTAATAATTTCTATTTTGATTTTTCGGTCATAAATGTATTTGGGTTAAAATAAGCATTTTTCAATTTGTAGGAATAATCTTTTAAAATTTGTTCATTTTAGACCTGCTACAGAATACAAAAAAGAAACTATTATTTAAATTTTCTATAATTTCAATGAATGAAAACATAAGTAGGTTTAAATTAAGAGGTTTTAATTCCTTCTTCAAGAAAGATTTTCTATGCAATCAAGAATAACTTAAATTAGCTTTATAAAATTAGCACAGGGCATTTGATTGTGTTTCTAGGTAAAAAGCATTGATATAAACAGGCATTCTATGAGAAAAAAATCTTTCCTAACTGTATATTGACAGATCATTTATATACAGAACAAAGAACTCCAAATTGTAAATAGCAAGAAATGTCCTTATCTAGCACAGTACTATGTGTAATGAATATATACCACTAAAAGAGCCTTTAATTATCAAATTTACAAATCAGGTGCCATTGAAATAAAGGTTTCTCTCTAGTCTCTAGGAAGCTAGGGAGTCAAAAGTAACAACATTAGTGAAAATCCCATCAAAATATATTATAATTATTTTCTTCACCTAGAAAATGAGTATCTTTTCTTGTGAGATCCCTAATGGTGGAGCTGGGGGAGGGTACTATCTCTGACTCTTTTGTCTGCTTTTAAGACCCCATTCCTCATACTGGGTTGCCTTCTACAAGCTTAATACAATGAGATGTGTTTAGTTAGTCTTTCTGCAACTTGATGTGCCATGGTTGATATCCATGGGAGGCCTGCCCTTCTCTAAGGAAAAATGGGGGAGGAGTGGATGCAGGAGTGGGGGCCAGGGAGGGAGGGAACTGGGGGGAAGAAACTAAAAGAAGCAGGAGGGAGGAGAAACTGTTGTTAAGATGTAAAAAATAATTTAAAAAAATAGGAGACTGGAAACAATTAAAAGGAAGAAAAATGAAAGAAGAAAGAAAAAAAAGTTGTTTCAAAACTTTAGATGATTAAAAAAGTACATTTAAATCTGCATATAATGAGACTCTGAATCTTTTAAAATAAGGAAACTGTTGAATTAGATGCTACAATGAACCATCTAGTATGTAGTCAGGAAGGATACACAGTATTCATCACACAGTATACACAGTATACATCACACAGTATACAGTAGACAAGATTCAGCATACATCCCACAGCAAAAGACTTGTAAAGAAGCTTAAATAGAGCCAGGCACAATGGCTCACTCTTGTAATCTCAGCACTTGGGGAGACAGAGGCAGATGGAGCTCTGTGAGTTTGAGGCCATCCTGGTGTAAAAAGACAAATCCGGGATATCCAGGGCTACACAGAGAAACCCTGTCTTGAAAAGAAATTTTGAATGGGGAATGAGAAGAGAAAATGGAAAGGTGAATATAATAAAAATAAGTAATATTGAAATATGAAAATACCACAGCAATACTCATTATTTTGTAGAAGGATTGCAGTCTAACCAAAGTAAATAATAGAGAAAAAGAGGAAGAAAATGATAAGGTCTTTCATGCATCAGAAAAGACTGTGAGAACAAATACCTGACAAGTAGCTTATGAACAGGATATATGAAAAATTCTCTAAAGCAGCTCAACAAAACAACACTAAGTAAACAAGTTTTGAACAGATATCTTACAGAAGAATAATTTTAAATGTCCCTTAATAATAAAAAGAACTTCTATATACCATTAATAATGAGGTAAATGTACATTAAATTACATAATACTCTGTAATAGCACATATGCATTAATATGATTAAAATTTTTTAAAAAATGGATAATTCTAAGTGCTGACATGGATGTGAATGCACTTGTTATGCATCTGTGGGAACGTGAAAACCTATGGTTCCCTGGAAGCCGGCTCTCAATTTTCAGCTGCTAAGCATGAACTCCATCCTGTTACCACGACTTCCACCTCTCTGCAGTTTCCAGATGGAAGGGAAACTTGTTAACATAAAGCTTTATTCACGGTAGCCCCAAAGCAGAAATAACCCCGGTATCCATCCATGTTGCTATCACCGGGTAAAAGAGAGAACACTGCTATGTAAGGTCCTCAGGGAATACCCATCAGCAAAGAGTAGGAAAAACTGTCAACAGAGCTTAGGATAAGCCAAAGGAATCAGGTACAAAAGAACACATAGACTTTCAAGATTCTGGAACTGTCGGAAGTGAGCCATGGCACAAAGCCAAAGGATCGTCTTCCAGGTAAGTATCTGATTAGGTCTTCAGAATGATAGTACTAAAGACTGAATGTGGAGGGTATACGTGTGTTAAAAGACGTGGGAAGATGTCTCTGTTGCTTGGTTGCCATGCAGTTTTTACATTGGTTACAATTACTGAACTCTTCACTGAAAATGGGTAGATTTCGCTGTATTGGGACTGGGGGTGATATATCGGGGGTAATAGTACTTGTTGTAAAATCATGAAGTTCTGAGTTCAGTTCTCCAGAATCTATGTAAAAAGTCAGGAAGGGACTCTATGTGCCTTTAACTCTAGTACCGGGCAGAGGGCACAGAGACAGCAGGATCGCTGGGGTTTTTTGGTCACCAGTCTAATCAAAAACCAGTGAGCCCAGGGTTTACAGACAGACAGCATAGCAGGAATAAGGCGGGGATGACTGAGGAGGGCATGGAACATACATGCCTGGCCTTTGCACATTTGTGCATAGGCATGTCTGCAAAAATATACAAACATACTTAAACACACATGCACATATACATACAAGTGAGAGACTGGGAATCAGACTTCCACCTAGGCGGATGGACCACGGCGAGGTAACAAAGTGGCAAATCTCCAATTCTGCCAGCTTCTTCCTCAACCTCCTGACTTCTGCCTCCCACCCACAGGCCTCCTGCTGATGGACCACTGCAAGGTGTTCAAAACTGGATCAGGACATGTCAGTCAACCAACCTAGCTTTCTTTAGCTGACCAACCCTATATTAGGAGAGGAAAACTCTCTAAGTCTCCAGCCCTTAAGAAGAGACTGGATCTTTCTCCTCCGTGAGCCCCCCTCCCAGCTTTGTGGAGCGCACTTGGTCTTTGTGTCTGATGCATGTTTCCTGCCTTGCTTCAAGTGCTGCTGTGTCTGCAGTGTATGAGGTGTCTTTGCTGCCACGCGGGACACTTCAGAATTTCCTGCCTTCCAATTCTTTAACTGGCAGAGAAAATGATTCTGATCAAGACCCACACACATGCAAGACATTTTTAAGGTTTTCTAAAGATACAGTACTACTAGAGACACAGGACAGCTGTTTAATAAGAGGCTCAGACAAAGAAGAACTTTGTAGAACAAAGATAGCCTTAAACTTTCTACAGTATTACAACTACAGCACTGGTCTTGCAGCGATTTATACAGGTAAAAAAGAAAATCACTTCTGCGGGGAAAAAAAGGCAAGCCACTGCAAACCAACTTTAGTAAGAAGAAAGAATTAAGCTATGTGTGCATTCTTGTTTGTTTCGAGACAGAGTTTCTCTGTGTATCCCTGGCAGTACTGAAATTTGCTCTGCAGAGCGTGCTATCTTTGAACTCACAGAGATCTGCCTGCCTCTGCCTCCCAAGTGCTGAGATTAAAGGAGTGTGCCACCATCGCCCAGCTTATGTATACATTCTAAAGAGCTCTTATAGACAAGACAGTTTGTAAAGCTGAGAAAGAGAAGATAGAAATGAAACAGAGCATCCAGAGTTAAATTTCTATAATTCACTGAGAGCTTCCCAACAACTGAGCAAAGCGATCCAGGAAACAAAGCAAGGCTGCCGCCGCACTGCAGAGCCAACTGAGCATGTTTGTCAGCTATAACGTTTCAGGGCATCCTGAACAACAGTTTCCTCCTTTACAGACCTGTTTTGACATTGTCTTAAGAACTGGCTGCATGACAGACAGTGTTCTGAGGCTAGTTTCATTCGTCCTATGCAGATTATTTGTTCTACCTTGAAGAGAGAGGCCGTTAGTGACTGCCACAAAACCTACGTCTTTCAAAGAACTGGTGTTCAAATTGTCAGCATCAGGTACCTCATAGTTTATATTATAATCTTTTAAAATGAGTACTGTCATTCTTGTTTTCTCTATCTGGGTCATGTTCTTTCTATGGAATTAGATGTCAAATTTCTAATTACAAAATAGATTTTACATTTCATGTTCAAATTCATACGTCAAACTTTAACAGAAAAGAAAATACAGAGAAACTGTGAGAAGATGGGTGGCTCTGCTTCGACTCCATCCATCCTACTGAGGCCAGCCCGAGGCGTCTCAGCATCTCTTTCCAGGTTATGCAGCACTGAGATGCAGCACTGCTACTCATTCTACACTCAAGTGGGAATGACTGTGATATTGTCTGGGTGAGGTGGCTGAAAGCCTGCAGAGCCTTGTCAGAAGGGGAAAACACACAATGACATTTTAAAATAATATACTGGTAAGTTGCTGTGCCTAGGTAAGTTACATTTGTAGAAGTAGGGACCCATGATTGGCTAGGGCAAAAGTAAGATCATGTTGTGTTTAAGCTGTATTTTCTTTTTTATCATTTGAGAATTTATATATAATGTGTATATATTATATTATTCTTATATTGTATTTATTATATAATATATACACATTATATATATTATGTGTTATATACACTGTGTTATATATATGTATATTATACATAATATGTATACATAAATGTGTCTTCATCAAATCCACTCCCTTTTCCCCACCTTTAATTCTTCTTCTATCCCTCCCACCACCAATTTTCTCTCTCAACTTCTTGTTCTTAATAAAACTCACCTCACTGAGTCTACTTGGTGATGCCTGTATTCACATGGGTGTGAGTCCAGCTACTGCAGTGTGGGCAGCCTCTGAGGGGCCATATTCCTTAAGAAATGGATATATTTCCTTCTAATGTGTTATATTTTCAAGTTAAACAGAGCCATAGAGACAAACTTACTTTTGTCACAAACCTGAATATGTCTTTTTAATATGTCATGACTAACCATGATTGGAAGCAGAACCAGAGAAAATCCTATGAAAGTTTTGGGAGAGAAATGACAAAGGTACAAACCCATGTGACCTCTGCAAATGTTTGTATAAAGAACAACAACAACAACAAAAAATCTAAGGCAAAGCTCATACTTACCCACATCCTTTCTAACCAGGACAGTATGTGTCACTACAGTTTCATATCATGAATAATGGATCAAGAATTTAACACTTGAGGAATAATAATGTTTGACACTAGAGACGAAGTGAATATAATTTTTCTAGAGATTCAAAAACAGCTAAAATAGCAGGGAATGGTGGGCTTTGATGGTTGTTTAATTCCTGTTCCTTCATGGTCAAATCTGAAGCAAAGCAGTCCTATGTTAGTTCTGTACTAAGAAATCTGTACTTCTTTCAGGTAAATAGAAAGCTGAGACCAACCCATCCATAAAACCCTTGACCCAAAATCTGTCTTGCCTACAAGATAGAGCAGAGATTGAGAAATGACAAACTAAAGACTGGTCTAACTTGAGACCCACCCCATGGGAAACAGCTAACCCCCGACACTATTAGCAATACTCTGCTATGCTTGCAGACTGAAGCCTAGCATAGCTGTCTTCTGAGAGGCTTCACCCAGCAGCTGATGGAACTAGATGCAGAGACCAAAAATAGGCCAAGCCCGGGTTGCTCTGTGGAAGAGTCGGAGAAAGGATAGAGAGATCCAGAGGGGTCAAGGACACTACAAGAAGACCTACAGAGAAAACTAACCTGGGCCCATGGTGACTCACAGAGTGTGAACCACCAACCTAAGAGCTTGCACAGGCTGGACCTAGCGTCCCTACACATATGTAGCAGATGTGCAGCTTGCCCAGCTTGTGGGTGACCTAACAAAAGGTGTAGGGCTGTCTCTGACTCTGTTGCCTGCCTCTCGATCCCTCTTCCAGAGCTGGGCTGCGTTGTCAGGCCTCATGGGAGAGGGTACACTTAATCCTGCTATGACCTGAGGAGCCAGGGTGGCTTGGGACCCCTTAGGGGCCATCATTCTCTGAGAAGAAGAACAGGGGAGAGTGGGGGGGAGGGGATCTGAGGGTGGGACTGGGAGGAGAGAAGAGAGCGGGTGGGATCAGGCTGTAAAGTGATTAAGTAAATTAAAAAGGCAGCAATGAGACAACAAAAGAAAACTAAAAGAAAAACTTAATGCTTTTTTGTTGATCTTTTCTTTTTCTGTGTTTTTTGTTCTTTTCTGGCTTATTTGTTTTTGCCTGTTTGTTTTCTAAAGAAAGAAAGAAGACATGGAGTAGTAAGGATGAGAAGTGGGAGGATCTGGGAAGAGATGAAGAAGTAGAAACTGTGATTAGAATATATTGTATAATTTTTTTCAATTAAAGAAAAGAAAAAGAAAAACTGTACAGACTTGTCTACAGGCAATCTAGATAGAGGAATTTTCTCATTTGAAGGTCAGACTTCCTAAATGCCTCTAGTTTATGTCAAGCGACATTAGTCAGGACAATTAGATTATAGAATACATGAACGGAAGTATCACCAAATGTTTGTTATAGCTTCCTAACATCTTATATGTTAAAATGCAAACCATAAAATATACTAAATACAAACTCAAGTATTATGATAGGACACTTCCCTAAAATTAAAAGAGAGAGCCTTCATTCTATAATTTTTCACTTTATATCTCTGCCCCTTATCCCCAGCACACCACATTTGACCGTAGCTAAATGGTTAATAGTTTCAAACAAAAGCTCTTATACTGAAAAGGTACATGGCAAACTTTTACAAACAAGAGTCAGTGAAACTAGTTTCTATCAAACTTTGAAGACACATGTAAAGACGATTCAAGCATCAGTAAAGCATTTATTTTATGAATGGTAGGTTTCCTGTACCTGGAATGTTGTATAGAAAGTCCCAGAGCTGTTGTTCCTCCATGTAGCTTGTGAAAACGTGTGCAAATGTTCGTGGAGAAAAGTGACAATGGTACAGAACCTTAAAGATGGCTTCCACCACACTGCAGCTTGCATTCTGGTTATTTTCTATGCCAGTGGCTTGTTCTTGAAAAGAGTGAAAATGCGGGAGTCAGTGAAAGAGAGCATAGTCTTATCAGTTACCCCAGCGTCTTGCTATCACACACACTTGCTCACTATTTGCACTTGAGAAACACCACAGTCTCTGAGGGCTACAGTCATCCAACTTTAAAATTTCAGATGTCTCTGTAGGTTGCTACTGAATAATATCTGTGAGAAGAACCATAAGGCATCATTTCAAGAGGTGAGGACAGTTTTCCTGTATGTCAGAATTCTTTTATCCCTCACGGAAATATTTTTGACTATATTTCTCATTTAAAAATTATAAACACTCAAGAAATTTTTTTTTAATCCAGATAGCTCAGAAAACTAAGAGTACCATGAGAAAATTCACAGGTTCTTTGAAATATGCAATCAATTAGGAAAAACAAATTGTGAATATTTCTTAAATACATTGACACCATTATTTCAGGATGAAGCACATTTTCAGTTTGGTAAGCTCATAGAGCAGGCTGGAAGTGGCTTTGGGTGGCCATTTGTGGAAGAACATTACTGAAAATAAATCTGCCGCAGTATGAATCAGAAATAAGACCGTTTTTGTTCTGAAATTATTTTCCAATTCTCAAGCACCTTGTTCAACCCCAAAAGATTCATTTGCTGTGTCATTTAAATGTGGTTTCCCATTTCCTTTTCTTTCATCCGCCTTGAATGTTGTCCTCTGTAGGACTACGAAATGCTATCTTCAGGGCATGAAAAAGCCACTAAATAATGACCTCACATCAGCTATTGCCACCTACACTGGGCCTGTCTAGTACTGGGACTATCAACCAACACTCACAGGGAGAGTTATGTGGGGACATCCCCTCATAAAGAGAGGGATGCAGGAAAAGAACTTGAAGAGGGGAGAGAGGCCTGACAGGTAAGACAGGGTTACGGTGAGAGTAGTCAATGTACTGTCAACATGCATGGAGTTATCAAAGTACAAATTTAACAAAAGTTGATATTTAAAACATTCACACTACCAGGTGCAGTGGCACCTGTAATCCCAGCACTCGGGGAGGCAGAGGCAGGCAGACCTCTGTGAGTTAGCGGCCAGCCTGGTCGACAAAGTGAGTCTAGGACAGCCAAGGCTACACAGAGAAACCCTATCTTGAAAAACCAAAACAACCAAAAATTCTCATGTATGAGTATGTGTGTGTGTGTGCATGCGTGCCACACTTGGTCATAATACTCTTCCCCAAAGCATAGACTACCGAACAAAATCCCCATTACTCAGTACCACACGAGAGAAACTTCCCTTTATACAATTATCTTTATATCCGTAGATAAATGTAGGTCTCACCCCTCCTCAAAGAATTTTTTCCCCAATGCAGATCAAGAATAAGTACTCTGAAGATCCATAATTAGTCAAAGTGCAGAAAATAGCTCACAGGGGTGTCCAGTTAGTTCATGTAGAATTCAACTCTGCACTCAAGGTTCAGGGAACATGGCGAAAAAGGGATGGAAGGACTGTAAGAGCCAGGAGACCAGCAGCATTTATGTATAAAATTCTCAAACAAAACAAAACAAAACAAAAACCCAAACATAATATTCTTACTACATGCCAGCCACTGGTGCAGATTTGAGTTGTTTCAGCTCCTGGGCAGTCACTATGCAAGCATACATATTTGTTGGTTGATAGGCATACATGAAAGCATGACAGCAAGGTCAGGGTTTGTTACCCTCATTCCTGCTTGGGTCCATTGTCCTATCATAAGTCAGGGTAGCATCCTCTTTCATTCTTAAAAAAAAAAAATGTTTGATTTATGTGAATGGTATTTTGCCTGTATGTATATCTGTGTACCATCTGCATACCTGGTGACTGCTGAGGCCAGAAGAGAACACTGGACACCCTAGAACTGGAGTTAAAGATGGTGTGAGCAGCCATGTGGGTGATGGGAAATTTCTCTCCCCATCTGATAAGGCCTGGCAGGAGAGAGGCATCAAACAGTCTAGATGTGTTTGGGGCTGTGCCTTGGGAAACAGGTAGAAACTATGCCCTTTGTCAAGTGCTCAGTCACAGTGCTTTTCTTTTTCTTTTGATTTGTTTTCTTTAGGTCCTTGGGGTTATTCTTGTGCTCTTTCTCATTCTGTTATCTCTCCAGTCCTTGTAGGAAAAACTCACCTTGGATTCACTTTTTTAACCTACCTCTTGGGGGGCAGGGAGACTCAAGTTATTTTGTTGGCACTTGATTGATGGCAGAGGAACATGAAGGTAATATTTGACAAAGTAGAACTGAGCATACTTAAATTGTTTTGGCATTTAAAAAAATTTATTGTTTGTTTTGAAATGCAGCTACTTGTAAAGCTAATCTTGATGTGGTTCAGGACACTGTACTCTCAAACATGGAGACTTGGCATTTGGGAAAGCAGGAAAGTCATCCTGGTCTCCCTGACCTTTTGTCCTGAAGCAGGGCACAAAAGAATTCCCATTTCCTTTAAAACAGGTCACAAGGCACTATGCAGAGGTGCCCTCATTTCTGAAGACAGGCACATGGGGATGTCTAAACAAGCTTGACTAAGTTGTTGCAGTTAATTACTTCTAGATCACATTCTTTCTCTCCAGTCATTCTCTGAACAACTGTATGCACATCAAAACATTCATGTTGGTCTGCATGGAGAATGGCAGCTCACAGGCACCTGTGATTCCAGTTTAATGGGATCTAACATTTTAGTTTAGCTTCCACAGGTCCATGCATGCAGGAGGTACACATAAACTCGAGCAGGCTGAAATACTCATGGATAAATTAAAAACAAATAAGTAAATTTCTAAAATGTCAGAAATACGCAATCCACCTGTTTCCTTGGTCTTCTTTACTGAAGGCCACTGCAGCAATCTTTATGGTCAACATTGGCTTTTCTTTTCTTACAGGTGCCTCAGCATGAGCCTTGCAATGCGTGAAGAGGGACAGCATTTCTTCTTGCCTGTGCTTGCTTCTTCTCTCCCAAATGCAAGTTTAGTCTTTCTTTCTTTCTTTCCTTCCTTCCTTCCTTCCTTCCTTCCTTCCTTCCTTCCTTCCTTCCTTCCTTCCTTCTACTTTCTTCTGCCTCTGGGTAAGACATTGGTTAATTCACTACACAATTCTTTAGGATTGATGGAAGTGAGCCTAGCCAGCCAGGATGACAGAGCAGACCCAATGAGCTCGATCTACCTAAAGGATCACTGTGCAAACTGTGCAAACAAATATCATTCACACTGTCATTTTCCATCACAATTTTACTCAAGAGAAATTCTCCAATGTGACCAGAATCTACCTTGTCCTAGTCAGTCTTGTTGTCTTCCTTAGATGTGAATCACTCTGGTAATTTTCCCCCACCTCTCATTCTACACACTAGGGAAAGTGTCTGAGGCCACAAACTGAACATGGTTGAACTAATCCAGTGTTTTTGTTTGTTTGTTTTTGTGGTATGCCTGACTGTGGGGACTTTCCTTTGGCCATAATTTCCCTTAAATTAAGACAGAATTTGCCAAGGCAAGACAATCTTGGGTTTTCAGACTAGGTGGTTCTTGGGAAAGTAGGTGCTGGGAGCTGAGGGCATTAGAAGGACTGAAATTCATACTTTAGTATTGGAACTTTTAAAGACATATTCCTTGACCTAGTATGTACCAGTAATGATACCCCATAATAGAACAGCTAGTTTAAATTATACTTCTTTTATCAACATATTATACATTTAAAAAGGAATAAATTTTAAACCAGATAATATTTTTGATAATATTCAAAGGGGCATTTTCACTGTTGATACCATTTTAAATTCTTTTTAAGCACTGAACTTGTTAGTGCTTTGTAAAGGAGGTTTCAGCCCCAGGAGACTGTTTCTGTTGCTAGCACAGATTTACAGCTACATTGTACACCAGAATTTTGCTCTCCAAGGCTGTATAACTTTTACTTTCTACAAGATGTCAGTGAGAAGCTCCTGCTGAGTCACTGAGATGCATTTGGCAGCAACATTATCGAGGAGTATGCCATGAGCTCAGCCATGCTGAATCAACCAGACACCATCAACAGCACTAAACAAAGAAAGAGGCTGAAAGACTCACTTCGAACAGAGATGTTAGATCAAAAATATAAGGATAGAACACACAGAATCAAGAATTAAAAACCCCAAACAGTAGGCCAACATGAGGGTGGGGGTCAATGTCACATAAACACAACTTTATGGAAATACTAAGTTTAAATGTCACAACATAGTTCACTAGGAAAAAAACCAACAAAATAAGATTTGAATCTGATTTGAATAAACAATACTGTATTTAACTCTCACCCTATGGGTCATGTCTTTATTCTCCATCCTGTCTGAGGTCAGCACTCCATGTCCTGAGTCAGCTGAACTTCTTGATTTAAATATCATTTACATATATATATATGTGTATATATATATATATATATATATATGTGTGTATATATATATATACACATATACTTATGAAGCCCGTCCTTCCCACTTTCACAGCACTCAAAACCCTGGGAACTAAGCTTGCTATGCCAGGGACGACAGGTGCATGTTCAGCCTCTAACAGTGCCTCTACTCGACGCCCACCAAATATCATCTTAATATTGAAATCAGTTATAAAATCAAGTGATTAATTTCCAGAGACTCACCCTTTCTAAAAAGAATCACCCCCGAAACTACTGTGTTATCTTTTTAATTCACCTAAAACAAAAGATTATCAGAAAATAATGACCCTTCTTTCCTTTTACAAGGATCATTGAAAAATCAAGTGGAAAATTATCCAATTTCTTTGTATCTGTTTCCCCATTTGTAAAATCATCCTAATAATTCAAGGTTCATAAACGAACTGATATGTTAAATCACACTGAGTTGCTTAGAAGAACCATGCTGTAAAAGTTCATCATAAGAGGATCACTTATAGGATATCACACTACATAATACTGTACATACAATCACATGCAAGTACACTAACTACCAAAGGAGACATATGTTCATGTTAGTCATATAGACATTTTAAGTACCACAAAAAGATG